CTTGTTTCCTCCTTCAATGTCAGCTGAACAAATGACATTTTATTTTCCAAATGTCAACAACTGACTTGAGTAATTGAATTTGTAATTACTTATTTCTCAATGTTAGGGTGTGGAACCTAGGCGAAGGAGTGCAATATATCGTGCAACTGCTAAAGCTTTGGCATCTCTTCATTCTGCTGATGTGGATTCCATTGGGTTGCGTACTTATGGGAAACCAAATAATTACTGTAAACGGCAGGCAAGAATTGCTTTCTTTGGTTAGTGTGTGAGTAGGTATCTTTTGTTTTTGTCCTCTGCTGCTGGTTAATAGTGATATATTATTATATTATATCTGATTTTATTTTGAAATAAGAACAATGAATTTGATAATGCTATTTGATATGATGATGAATCTTGAAATGATTTAGGAATAGCTAAATAATGATCTAATATAATTGGGGATGCGAAATGTCTGAGTGGCTGGATAGTGTAATTTCTGAGATTTTGTTGGCAATAAATTATGAGTAGATGTGGTTGACAATTAAGATATTGAAAATGAGTGGTTTCCTTTTTTTTTTTTTTATTTATTTGTTTTTTGAGAATATCCTTAACTAAACTGAAAAAATTTGGAGGGAAATTGCAACCTCAAGTGCTTCATTTCTTACTTCATCTTAAAGAATTGCCTCTTTCAGCTTTCCAATTGTGTTGTTAATTTTTCAATGACATGGGGGGAGCTTCGTTAAAGTCTAAACAATACAGTAGATATTATTAATCTATGTATATTTGTCTGTTATAACAAGGTAATGAAATTTCTGAAGTTCCTTAGGTTGATAGATGGGGTAAACAGTACATTTTCTCTACCGGCGAGGGCAAATCTGACAGAAACCCAAGGATGTTGGAGCTTTCTCAGTGGTTGAGCCAACATATTCCTCTGGAAGATTCTTCGGGAGCAGCTGCAGGTTTAGTACATGGCGATTTTCGGATTGATAATCTTGTTTTTCATCCTATTGAGGTGAGTGTACTTTCAAAAATCATCTGATGGTCACATGGACCAGCGAGGGTAATATTTCTTTTGAGCACCATTTTGATTTATATCTAATTGCAGGATAGAGTGATTGGCATTCTTGATTGGGAACTATCCACCCTAGGCAATCAAATGTGTGATATTGCATACAGCTGCATGGTACTAAGTCTACACAATTTATCTTTCTTTCGAAAGTTACAAATATACTATTGATATTTGCTTTTATTCTTCAATTTGCACTTCTTTAAATTAAAAAGAAGTTAAACTGTATCTTTCGAAAGTTACAAATATACTATATTTGCTTTATTTTTCAAATTGTACTTTTGGTAGGGGGATGGTTGTTTGCTACCACAAGGGAAGGGGGTTGTTTGTAACTTCGAAAGATAATTGTATTTTTTTTGTTATTAAGTCAAACTTGGTAATTTGGTAATCCCTATTATTTCTAAGTTTGCTCTTGAAAGTTATTGCATTCTGATGGATGCTATTTTTTTTTTTTAATGTTTCATGCCAGCATTACATTGTGGATATTTCTCTGGACAAAGTAGAAAAGAATGGTGGTCTTGAATTCACTGGATTACCTGATGGGGTTCCTTCATTGCCTGAGTATCTCGCAGATTATTGTGCAGCTGCTGTATGAACTATGGACGACACGTCTTTCTGAATTTTCTACATAGGCTTCCGATATTTTTTCTATAAATTTTTATCCGACTGAATTGAAATATTTTTTCTATAAATTTTTATCCGACTGAATTGAAATAAATATTGCTGCGCTAATTTCATTGGTGGATCTCTTATGCGTATTGTGGTTTTTAAAGTTGTGTATGCACTGATTTGACAGTCATCTCAAAAGTAGGAGTAGTGGAATCAGACAGGGAAACTATATTTCAGCTTTAAATTTTTTTCCCCCATTTTTGAAGTCCCAAGTGCATATAAACCATAGCTATTTGAAGTGGTTCACTAGGATTTTGTAAGGCCTAGCATTTTCTTCAACTATTAGCATGCTGTGAGGAAGATTTACCCGAATAATTTTTTCTTTCCGTGCTTTGAAAATTTAAGTTATACGAAATTTGGAAATAACTATCTTCTTAATATGGGACCTTTTACCTCTAATTGTTGATTGCAATGTAGGGCAAACCATGGCCTGCCGCAAACTGGAAGTTTTATGTCGCCTTTTCTCTGTTCCGTGCGGCATCTATTTATGCTGGAGTACATTATAGATATATCTTGGTATAACTAGTATTTATTATATGGTTTGTTTAAGTTATTTAAGAATGCTTTGATACAAGGCCTTAATTCTTCGTCTGATCTATAACCATGTTATTTTAGGGAAATGCTTCTGGAGGAGAACGTGCCCGAAATGCTGGAAAGAAAGCTGATGCCATCATTGAAACTGCATGGGATTTTATTAATAGGGAATCTGCTCTTCCAGATCGTCCTCCACAGGGTAATGTTAATCTTTTAATATTCCATCTCAAAGTTTACTCTGTCAGTGGACTCATATAAGTGCTAGTCTATGGTTATAATTTACGTTTCATTGGCTATGGGGCCATTTTGCAGTTTATTGATTCTCGGTACTGTTTTCTTAAGAGTGGTATATTTCAAATGATGGGTAGAAAGATGGCCAAAGTCTCATGTCAGTCATCGGGGCCTGAGCTCGGAACCTGAAATATAGTTGATATGACTACTTTATTTTGTTTTTAATTTTATTTTTTTGGTATGTAGCTGGTGGGATATATATATATATATATATATATTGGCATTAATATCATTTTATAACACTCTTTGGAAGTCCTATCGTGTTAGTATGTTCTGCACTGTTACTTCTATTTCAGACATATATGAAGGAAATCTGAGCCTAAACTTGCTACAATCTGCATGAATGAAAATGAGTACTCTGTAAGTACTAGCCATGCTTCTGATAAGAGTGTTACAGACGTTTTATTTTCCAAATTATTCTCAAAAAGTCCTATTAAATTGTTACAACTAGTTGCTCTCTGTAATAAGAAGGACCAGATTTTAACTTCAAAAGTATTTCCTATTTTTTTTAGGAACTGACCATTTAGTTTAATTCATACTTGCTCCTAAAAAAGGCTGTCTTGGTCTCTTTATATCAGGATCAGTATCTCGGGAGCATGTGGAACAACTTGGAAAAGAAAACAGAGACAGCTTACATTCAAGCGAAGGAAGGTTTGTTCCGAATCAAAAGGTTCGAGATTTAAGAAACAGATTGATCAAGTTTATGGAGGATAATATATACCCAATGGAAACCGAGTTCTACAAACTCGCTCTGTCTAGCAAGCGCTGGTCCATTCACCCCGAAGAAGAGAGGTTAAAGGATCTTGCTAAAAAAGAAGGGCTTTGGAACTTATGGATTCCTGTATGTGCGGTGCTAAACTCTCTCTCTCTCTCTCTCTCTCTCTCTCTCTCATTTCTTTTCCTATAGAAGTTCAAATTATGCCTTTTAAGATTATAGTAGGAGTAACTGTAGAACTACCTTTGCGTTGACCTAGTTACTGAAAAACCCGATTACCTTTCCAGTTTGTAATATCTATTAAGGTGTCATTTCCTTAAAGAATATCCAATGCTGATGGTTCATTTTGTAAAAAGAGTTACAAATATTAAAGGGCGTATTTATAA